TATATTATATTTATATTATATATTATATTTATATTATATTTATATTATATATTATATTTATATTATATTTATATTATAAATAAAATATAATAATATATATATATAAATAATTACCATTTCGAAACGAAAAAAACACCAAATATTAAGCAATATATATATAATATATATAATATATAATATATATATATAATATAATATAATATATAATATATATATATAATATATAATATATATAATATATATATAATATATATATATTATATATTATATATATAATATATACATATATAATATAAATTTAAATATATCAAAAATTAAAAACCAATACATATATATATATATTTATAAAATTAATATAAAATAATTAAAATATAATAATTAGATTTTATATTAATTATTATGTATATATATACATATTTATTCCTATTTTCAACATATTCAATTAATTTTGTATATTTATTTTATTTTGTTCAAATAATTTTATATAATAATAATATATATAATAATAAATATGTAATAATAATTATTATTATATTAATAATAATAATGATTATATATATATTGCAATATTATATATATAGTGTAATAATATATATATATTTATTTATTTCTTTATTTATTTATTTATTTGATATATAATTATTAATTTAAGTAAATTAATTTAAATTTGTGTTTTATTCTTTTACCATTCAGTATGAGGAGCCTTCGGCAAACGATATCATAGAGGTTGGTTATTCCTTTGGCATACAGGGATAGACAGGTTTACTTAAAGCTTGAAATATGAGGTCCCGCCTGTAGAGACCAGATGGGCACAACCCATTTCTCCACTGGACCTTGTACGGTTGCAGCCGAATGTACCATTCGTAGGTCCTGCAACCAAAAGGCGAAGCATAACAGTGGCGAGTGATGATTCTGTTCTCCCTTGAGTTTTTTGGGATGTCCTCCTAAAACAAAGACAAGCTGCTCACACTCAAAGGCCGACCTATCCCCAGTGCGGCATCCTCAGAAGCGTCTGCAAAGGAAGGGCAGAAGACCAAAGCGCTTCCTGCCTGTCGATGTGGCTGCGAACTGCGCGCAGTGCGGCACAGATTGTCAATCACTTCTTGATACACAATTACTGTAATATCTTGAGCTCCGGATAGTTGTGCGCTATGTACGATATATATATATATATATATATCGACCAACCTGTCCGATAAATCTACCCATGTGTATGTGTGTGTATGTATGTATGGATGGATGTATGGATTCCATGGATGGATGGATAGATGGATGCATGGATGCATGCATGCATGCATGGATGGATGGATGGATGGATGGATGGATGTATGGAGGTATGGACGTATGCACGTATGGATGTATGTATGGATGGATGTATGGATGTATGTATGTATTGTATGTATGTATAACTGTATAAATGTATAGAATATGTATATATATATATATATATATATACGCATCGCGTGTATATATATATATACATATATGTAATTACACGTATATACATTTATCAAGGCCAACTGAGCTACAGAAGGGTTGTAGTAGTTTGAATTAAACATGCGAAAAAAATGTGAACAAATGTGTTTTAAAAATGCATTATTTTTGAAATGTGAAAAAATGTATTTTAAAAATGTAAAACAATGTAAGAAAAATGTATCTTTTTAAAGCAAATTTGAAGCTTTGTTCCTTTTCCTTCTGCATTTGATTTTATGCTTTTGCTCCTGGTAGTCATTGCTTTGCTATAGATATATTAAACAGATCTGCGATCTGCACAGTCCACTTCCGATCCATTTGAACTGCTCCTCTCCGATTTTCAACCTGCAGAAGTTGGGCAGGCAGCAAAGTAACTGCAGCAAAACTGGACCCCCAAAAATCCAAGTTCCACCTTCCCAACTGGATGTTCAAATGTGTTTTTTTCACATGTTTTCACATTTTTTCACATTTTTTTCACGTTAACGTGGGAACAAAAGGCAGTGGAAAAGTTCCTGTTTCTTAGTTCCGTTTTTCCCATATTTTCCAGATATAGTTTTTTTTTCAGGTTTTCTTTGAAATCTAATTTTAAATCATATAGAATATTGAACTTAAGGATTCCACATAAGCATATATTCATTTTCAATGATTCATGTCAATAGGTTCACAATGAATGTATTTTTTTCAAATTTCAATTAGGAAAAGTATTTAAACCTGTAATTTCCTGTTTTGCATTTTTTTCCACATTTTTTCACACTTTTTCACATTTTTGAAATGCATTTTTTTCACATTTTTTTCCAAGCGCATTTTCAAAAGGTTTTTTTTTTTGTCGTATTTTTTCACATTTTTAGTTAATCATTGTTTTCAAGCTTGTAGCTGGAAACGACCATGATAAATATACATATGTAATTGTATGTATGTATACACACAAATCCATCTCTCTTTCTATATGTACTTCTATCTCTGTTTATTTCTATCGATCTAATTATCTATCTATCTATCCATCCATCTATCTATCTATCTATCTATAGATTATGCATGGACAGAAACATTGTATACTTCCAATGTTTAGTCAAATGGTGAAGACACATGGTAACGACTTTAGCCCATGTGTACATAGGTTATGCCGGAATTGGCTCACCGACTGAGTAGCCATGGGAAACCCTATGTTCGCATCATGGCAAAGAATCGTCAGAAATAGACATGGAATATCAACAGTGCGAGAGTCACCAGCACGTGGGTTGCTCCCTGAATGACAAATGCTTACTAAAAGATACCGCTATGTTTATCAAGTTTGAATAAGTTTGATGGTTATATGTGGTTATCTATGGTTATCTATGGTTATACATTTTCTTTTGTTGTCTTTTGGGTGATGTTGGAACAAGTGCCCATTTCCCCTTTAGTCTTTAAAGAGTCACTTTAGTCCCCTGGCTTCGAGAAGATGCAACAGCAACGGTTGCCTCTGGCTGAACCTGAAGCCCTTGCAACACCTGGCACAGCTGGGGCATCCATGAGAGGTTTGTGGTTATGAAATGTTTTTAGTTATTGAGACATTTAATATCATTTTATGTTTACCAATGTTTTTGAGTTATTAGTTATTAACTCGGAAATGGCAAAGAAAGTTAAGATGAGACATTTCAAGAGTTGCTTTTAAATGTCACCCAATTCGACCCACCACTCAGCAACGGCCCCAACGGCAGCTCAGTGAATCAGTGGGTCCTCAGAAACTCAACCAGTTGGCTCAGTGAATCCGACTTAGTCGCAAGCCAATTTACCAGTGGCATTCTTTTATTGAAAATTTCAGCCATTTGGTCATTCAGTTGTCCCATGTAGTTCACCATGTAGTTCCTTCAGTCATACAGTTGCGCTGATATCAAAAAGTAACCCTTCATATCGGCCCTTCAGCTCTTATCGCTGCTAACTTGCAACCCTTTTTTGTTCCAAACTTCCGCCCTATCGCGGGTAAAAATAGGTTCTGGACCCTCACCTAGACAATCAGCATATTTTTGGATGTACCATTCTGGTGCTTTGAACCCCGATCCCAACACCATAGTTTTGGGACCGTTTCATGTCACTGGACCACAGTTTTACAGAAAACAATCCGCTGAACTCGCACCTTTTTCGGGTGGGCAGCTGTTAAGCGTCCCGTTTTTGGCATCACTTCTTTGATTTGGATTCAGTTTCTACAATCCCCACCACTAGTCTAGAACATGCTGAAACCATCCGCAAGTTGTAGAATTTCTTCTCATGGATAGATTCCCCCCTCCTGAATGAAGTAGAAGAAGACGTCTTTGCATACCATCAGCCACCATGCATGTCATGATACATCCAAAATGTGCCATCCCAAACTCACTAAAATAAACTAGAAAAAATCATGACAAACAAATAACATTCAATAATAATAATAATCTATCCTAGTAGTGGAATCTAATCCGCAAAAAGTGCATTGCCCATTTCGCCCATGAAATCGCTCTCAGGAACTGAGTCCAGCAACTCTTCCGGAATGCATTGGCCAGCAACAAGCTGAGTGGATTCATTTTCCGAAGCGCCGCAGAATTGATCACTTCTTGGTCACTTCAATCTGTCGCCAAAATCTTAGTTGATAATTTAATCTCCAACAGCTTAGTTGACAATTTAATCCCCAAAATCTTAGCTGATAATTCTATACCCATTATCAATCTTTGATTACTTACTTGGGGTCAATATGAAGGTGGAATTGGACCATCAACAAAGTCTGGATGCTGCTCACCTGGCCCACACGGCAGGCTTGGTGAAACAAAGCAATGATTTACGAAGATCTGTTTTATGACAGCCACATAGACAAGCCAAATCCCAAAATAGTGATGCATCAGTGATGAATATTGATGAATGTCTTTCCTCTCTTTTTGGGGCTTGCTATCCCCAGAAGACGAGATCAATCAAAAGGTTTCTTTTGGTCGCGATTAGTGGCGAACATGAATCCAGGAGGCTCAAGCCTCAACGCTCTCAGGTGTCAACGGTGTCAACCTGCAAAGCGATCTGGCTGAAGATGTTGGCTTCAAGTGGCCCATGGGATTTTAGTGGGATAATAAATAATGATAATATAATAATAATAGTATAAAAGTAGTATACTCCCAAATATAGTGATCTGGAACTGTCTGGAACTGATCATAAATCACACCTGGAGACGTTTTCATCGATCAATGGTGGTTTTACACGCTGTGGTCCCCAGAATCTGGTGACTAATGCTGGAAGGAATTGACTAAACGAAGGGGGAACAGAAATAAATTTTCCCCGTGGCTAGCAATTCCCGGCCTGTAGGTTGGAGCAACCCTGTTGATGGATTCCATCACAAATCTCAAGCATCACATCTGGCCTGCATCTGACTCATCACTGCACCTCAGCAGTTTGGGGACAGGTTCTACGGTTCCTTCATGGGAGAAAAAACATATTTGGGGGTTGATGTAAAGACAATCTATATACCGTTCTTCACTCACCAAAGGCGGTGTTTGAGACTACCAAATGGCAAAAAACAAATACATAGTAATATGTATATCTTTGAATATCTTTCGAAGTATGTATAAATCATTGATGTGTATATATGTATAAATATATATATACATATACATCATTGGATATGTATACATATATATATATATACACACTAAATATAACAAATGTAGATACATTTAGATAAACAAAAATACATATAAATACGATAATCAAGGCCTGAAAGTGTCACTTCCTAGTACGCCCAGCATCGCCAAGCAAACAATCAACATCATTGTACTATATTCTATTGACTTCCTGATTATTGGGATCAACATTTTTGACAAAAGCACCTGTGACCTTCAGGTTTGACACACACACACAAACTCAGAGGTATGGTCCGACACAAGATCTACAATGCAACAAGATGAACTGCTAGGACTTGCATTTTGTTTTTGCAAACCAACAGTCTATTTACTTGTCACCCCCGAATGGCATGGTCCCCACCCGGCCCCGTTCCACACGCCTTGCATGTTACCTATTACGTAGGTCAAAACTCCCTACAGAGTAGCGCGCTACTACATATACTACTGTTCTCCTTTCCTTGGCGGCCTTAGCGTAGCAATACACTATCAGTATCATCTATGTACTCATTATACCTTGCCTATAGACTATCTACGTACTCCTTGTACCCATTTGTACCCTATTTGGATACGCAGAAACTACCTGTGCACTAGCTACATACTCCACCGAAGTATACTCACCATATGCTACATACCGTATCACCCTCCAATCCTCCTTCCCATCCCCGCAGATGTTTGTATACCTAACCAGTGTAAAGCCAACATGCTTACCATCTTTCACAGAATCCAACGAAAAAAACAGGAACTGACACCTAAATTAGCAGAAATCTATCAGTTTCCCCATGATCTTTTCCGAAACCAACAGCTGTCCTTCCTTTTGCCACGTCAGCTGCATCAGGAATGACTCTTCAGTCTTCGCATTGCTCAGAAGTTCAAATGCTCTACGCGACGCGAGCGTTCCAGCAAAGTCATCTGGAAACCAAACCTCAATTGCTGGTTGCAGCAGTCCCCTCTGGTGATCAAACATGGCGGCAAATCAGCAGCAATCTTTTGTGGGAAGGCTATCTCAACCAATGCTACCCTTAAATCACCATTGTCCGCGGCCAACGATCAACTCATCAGATGGCATGCCCCAACCCCGCAAAAACCTCATGAAAAATACCTGATTTGATCTTATTTGACACTGAAAAAACACCATCCCCTTTATATTGAACACCCCTTACATGGTCCCAAATATGTGTAAACCTTTTAGTCAACCATGATTTCTGGTGAGTGTCTGGTATTGGGGAAGGGATTAGCAAACGTTTAAAAAAATTGTTAGGGTCGTCTGAACATATCGGAGATCAGTGAGATAAATTACCGTACCGACCAAGCTTGAACATCTGGAACTAGACCAGTTTGATTCTTTTATTCCAGGCTGCTTGTGCCAGAGCAACAGAGCCGACATGAACCGACATGAACCAAACCATTTCCTAGTGTCTAAGCTAAGTTTCTGCATGAATGGCATACATACCAGATACTCAGTGTAGTGCCCGGCACTCGCCGGGGCGGAAGTTTCCAAAATAGGACATGATTGTAGGGACCGGTTGGCTTATAGGAATTGTTGCTGAGCTGGAAAGAAGTGATTTGAAATGAAGGAATTGAAGAAAATCAATGAATGCAATGAATGAAGTGAATGAGTGGGTGAATGGACGGTATGAAAGAATGAATGAAAGAATGGATGCATGAATGAATGAATGAATGAATGAACGAACGAAGGAATGAATGAATGAATGAACGAACGGACGACCGAAGGAAGGAAGGAAGGAAGGAATGAATTGATGCATGAGTGATGCACTGAAAGGAATGAAACAAGGAATGCATGCATGAATGATTGAATGAGCGAATGAATGAATGAATGAATCAAGGAAGGAACGAAAGAATGAATGAGTGAATGGATGAATGAATGAAGGAAGGAAGGAATGAAGGAGTTGAATGAGTGAATGGATGAATGAATGAAGGAATGAAGGAAGGAAGGAGTTGAATGAATGAGTGAGTGAGTGAGTGGATGAATGAATGAATGAGTGACTGGATGAATGAATGAAGGAAGGAAGGGATAAAGGAAGGAAGGAAGGAAGGAAGGCAGGCAGGCAGGAAGGCAGGCAGGCAGGCAGGAAGGAAGGAAGGAAGGACGGAAGGAAGGAAGGAAGTTGAATGAATGAGTGAATGAATGAGTGAATGAATGAATGAAGCAATGAATGCATGAAGCAATGAAACCGAGCTCTCGCTACAGTCTCGTGCACATTTTGCGGACCTCATCTTCCAACAGTGCTCCGAGCTCTCGCTACAGTCTCGTGCACATTTTGCCGACCTCATCTTCCAACAGTGCTCCGAACATGTCGTTTCTTTTCCTCATTTTTTTTGTAAAATCGAGCTCTCGCTACAGTCTCGTGCACATTTTGCCGACCTCATCTTCCAACAGTGCTCCGAACGACCCAGTCTTTTACGCGCGTTTTGTCGACAACTTTGGCAGATCGAGGCCGGACACCTCGGAAACAGAGACCCTACTGCGGCGACCACGGAAACTACTTTACCCGAAAAAAACACAGGGTTTCGCGCCCGAGAGTCTTTCCAAGCTTGAACTGAATTCACGCGTTCCCGATCTGTTACAGCTCCCAACTACTTGATGATGATGATGATGATGTGGTGGTTGACATGGTGATGATGTGGCATGCTGCCCATGACAATCGTCCGTAACTCCGGAGTTTTGTAACTAAACGATTGATATCCAGGTCGTTGTGCGATGGCGGGTACAAAACCACACATTGCCCCGTTTTTTCACCTGTATCAAGTATTGACATAAGCAAACATCTCTTTCAGGGGTTTGTAAATCTTCTAACTGAACACCATCCAACTATTGGATAATATGTATATGAAAATGTGTATATACAGTGTATATATAATATGTATCTATATATATGTATAATATATATATATATATGTAAATAGATATATATATATATGTACTGTATATGTATATGTATATATGTATCTATACATGTATAGTAATCATATATACAAAAAGAATCCAACAAATACTTGAACATGTAAAAATTATCCCCAAAACGGGACATTTGCCAAGCCCTGTCTTTAGATGACATACGCATCCCATTTTTCAGCAGGAAACTCGACCTCAGTAGACTGTCTTCTCAACTGTTCAGAAGATCCCACCAACAAGCCTGTGACGGGAAGGAAGGGCTTGTGTCGATTGATGTAGACAGCCCTTGTTACACCGCGTTGTCCGCCAAGAATGCTTAGAAAATAAAGGCCTTTAATGAAAATTGGTGTTGGTCTTCAGGAAAGCTATCACAAGCATTCATAATCCATGATGAGAATCCTGATCAACTGGAAAAGGGAATGAACGTTACCCGCAGCGCGAATATGTGTAAGCTATGATCGGGCAACTTCATCTGCGACTCCATATCTGGGTATTTGTATAGGCCTCCCCTCCTTGCAATGGCAAATGCGGAAGGGCAGTTGCCGTCAAACTAGATGAACTAGGATGCGAGAAACGCCTCGTTTCACTGGGAGTCCAATGAACACGTTAGCGCATCGTGTCACTGTCATCCACTGAGAATTTTCAGTGGGTTGGCCTCAAACTCCCATCTGCTTAATCCGGAGCCACTCAGGAGGAATGGTCAAGCAGCTTGCCATACGCTGCACACCCGGCCAACGGTGTGCAGAAAGCCCAACGATGTCCTCTGGGCAAATTGCAAGACTTCCTCAAATGTAGTGACATCTTCAACCTAATTTGCTGATCTTTGATGAAACAGGACTAATGAGGTGTTTGGGAGGTTGCTGTAATTTGCCCAGAAAGGTTTTGCTTGGGCAGCTCTGTGGGTAAGGCGCGCATGATCTTTCTCAAGGCTCTTCGCTGACCAGCCATGGCAAATTGTTCACTGCCACGACCTAAGACAAATATGGGTGTGTCTAAAAATGGGGTATACTCCCAAACGAGCATTTTAAACAAAGGAAGTTGGGAAGCGATCTTCCGAGTAACAAATGCTTTTTATTCAAGTGACTTTGTGCAGCAAAACGATACATCACACAACAACATACTACATAACAAAACATCACACAACAATACATCACAAAACAATACAAAACACAACAATACATCACATAACAATACATCACACATCAATAAATCACACAGCAATACATCACAACAATACATTGCATACCAATACATGACACAACACCACATTACTTTACAACATATTGCACAACAATAAATCACATAACAACACAAAACAATACATCACACAACAATACATGACACCAGAATATAAACCACAACAATACATCACATAACAATACATCACAAAACGACACATCACACAACAATACATCACATAACGTGCGGTTGTTCATGTGTGCGTAGTTACACGGTGTTTTGGAATCTGTGATTGCAAATCGCAGTGTGCTGGCTGCATGATTGTTGTCATGTTCTGTTGCCATGTGCGTAGATGCATGCGGCTTTGACAGGTGATGCTGCAAAACCCAATGTAACGGCTGCATGACTGTGGCATGGGATTTGATTTGGGGAGGAAGCCGGAGCGCGAAACATTATGATTTTCCGGGTAAAGTGGTTGCAGCCGGCGATGAAAGGCAGCTCGTGTGCGCGGTGGTTGCGGGTGCGCTCGTTTCGATGCGTGATTGGTTCCTACAAGGTGTTCTGAAACGTGCGTTTGTTCATGTGTGCGTAGTTAAAGGGTGTTTTGGAATCTTTGATTGCAGATCGCAGTGTGCTGGCTGCATGATTGTTGTCATGTTCTGTTGCCATGT